TATTCTCCTTTTTCATCTTGGCCCAGGCGGGCATCCTCTCCTTCAATTCTTCAGCCACGCCTGTGAGGGAGGTGTCTAGAGAGACTCTAACACAAGCAGTCTCTGGACAGCTACCTAGACACCGGCCTGCAACCTCTGCCATAGGCACATGTGGTGTGGGAGTCTCGTGCCGGCTAGCGTTATCTTCCCCACATGGCCTTATGGTAGGGGCAATTGCTACCCCTACCGGTGGCTGCCTTTTGGCCCTAAAGCAGCCGATCGGGTCTCTCTATACTTAGGACAATATTTAATGATGTGGCCCGGGTCACCGCGGTAAATGCACTGGCCCCGGTCCACACGCTGTTGCCATAAGCCCTGGTCCAGACCCAAATCTTTCCAAGGCTTGCGCTGAGGCAGCCTTGGGTGCCAACCACTTCTCCTATACGGGGACCTATTCCCAGACCGGTTTTGCGGGGGACCTTGACCCCTTCCTCCCGCTTGGCGGTTTCCTCCTCTGCTGCCAACCCCCTGATCGCCCTGAAATCGGCCCCCTGAGGCCCAGCCCCCTTGGCCCTGGCCTCGTCCTCCTCCTTGCGGCCTCCCTCCAACCGCGACAACAGCATAAGTTCCCCCGTGACTCATCCCACTGTCCTCATCCTCTAACCCCCACTCTATCTGATCGTAGGGGATCTCGTCAACACTACCTTCGTCTAAAGTAAGGACAAGACTATCCTTGGTCTTAACTTGCCCTGAGATAGTGCGACCCTTCCACTTCTTTCCTTTGTCCAGGTCTTTGTGCCAGAAAGTGGAGACTGACACAGACTTTGCTTCAAAGGCCACCACTTCCCTGTTGAGTGCGTCGTACGTCATGGCAGGGTCTTGACTCTTCGTGAAGAAGTGGCCACGCAGTGATTCGGGCATAGCCCTGTAGAAGAGGTTGACCAATTGGGTCTCTGTGACCCCATGGTCAGGGACAGTCACCCATTCGTCCATAACACCCTTGAGTGCCCTGGCACTCTTCCATTGACGCGAATGGATGGTCTGGAGCCTATCTGAGGCTTTGACACTGCGAGCGACATCAGCAAATCGCTCGCGCAACAATTTCATGAAATCGACGAGGGGAGTGAACGTTGAGTAGGCAACTGCATCATCATTGCAGTTGGCAGAGCGGACTAGAGATCTTGCGAAACTGGCAGCCTCATCTCTAAGCGCATGGATTGCAATTAGCACGTGCTGATCCAAAGTTCTCTTCCCTCTTTCCACTGTAGGAATCGGGGAACTTGACTTTGACTGGCTCCCTGCGAGGACGTGCCTCTTCCTCTTTGGGAGCGGTCAGCTTGATGCCTTCAATGGCGCCAACGCAGAATCGTTCTGTCTTCTCGAGGCGATGGTTCACCCCGGCCCCTACTGCGCCTACCAGTTCGCGGGCAAAATCCCGAAATCCCATTCGCATCGAGCGCACGGCCATGTCCCGACTTCTACTAAACTCATATTGGTCCTCCTGTACTCGGGCAAAGCGCTCGACATTCCGGGCAATGATCTCTTCCTTTCGTTTGAGATCTACTTGAGGGGTCAACTGTAGACTAAGTTTCTGCACCTCCTCTAACTCTTTGACCGCTTCACTCGCTGCATCCACCCTCTTCTTCTTCTCCCTCATCATCCTTAACTTCCACTCCATCCTCTTCTCATCTTCCATCGCCTGCCGCTTCAAAGCATCTCCTTCCGCGTCCCATTCCTTCATGGCGGCCTCCTGCTCGTCCTTGGGGATATACATGGCTACCTCCTCCTCTTCTCCCAAAGACGGCAACCCACTCTTAGATCCTCTTCTCCATCTCATCATTTTTACTGCCACTGTACTGCCCTTGTTGCTCTCTCCTCCTTTCTAGTGGCTGTTCATCCTCATCTTCTTCCTCTGCCACCTCCTTTAGTTTCTCCTCTTCTTCTTTTTTCAATCTTTCCTTTTCTCTGGCCATCTCCTCCTCTATCTTTTTCAACTTGGCCGCCTGCATCTCCATCAGGGCCTTCTTTTTGGCCTCTTTCTTTTCTTTTCTCTCCCTCAGGATGGCGGCCATATTTTCTTCCTCCTCCTTCGTATAAGGCTTAGTGGAGGCACCACCCCTGGTATCTACTCTACACGTGAATGTGGGACAGCCTAGGGTTTCGTCATCCAAGCACTATCCTTCATCCATAAAGTGCTATCACCTAGGACAGAAGAGACTCGATGCAGAAAGAAGAGACGGACAGACTTAGACTCAGCAAGTACCGCCGGGTGAGTGCACATCTACAGGGTGAGGGGGTAGGCTAAGGGCTTGGCGAGATGTTACCAACTCCAGCTTGGTCAAAGTCTTGGTCAACGACGGTCAACTCTCCGGTCAACGCTCGGTCAACGCCCGGTCAACCCTCCGGTCAACTCTCCACCTCAGCTATGGCTGCCGGCACCTTCACCTTCGCCACCCTTGTCTCTTTCTTCCGCTTCCTTCACCTTCTTCTTCCTTTCTTTCTACCTTTTTTTTTTTTT